GATATAATATATTCATCCATTCAGTCTGTATCTGCTTGTCCTTGCAGGGTCACAGTAGGGTGGGCTGGGGGTTGCCGGTGTCTCCACAGGGTACACACTATACATGCCGGCAGTTTATCAAGAGCGACAGACATGAAAAACAGCCATGTGAAAACAATCACAGTCACACATCACATTCCCAATGACAATAAAAACAGACCAAGTGACCTATCATATAAATTTATATAATATAATATAATATAATATAATATAATATAATATAATATAATATAATATAATATAATATAATATAATATAATATAATATAATATAATATAATATAATATAATATAATATAATATAATATAATATAATATAATATAATATAATATAATATAATATAATATCATAATATAATGTAATGTAATATAATATAATATGATAAAAATGATAAAAACAAAAATCATGATACTGAAATCACCTCAATTGCATATATATATATAAGAAGTAAGCAAGCCTGATGGAGTTCCTGCTCTCTAACTAATATTTTGTTGAGCAACACTTTAGGACACTCAGTAAAATTAGGTGCTTTCTGCGATGTTCAGAAAAAAGTCAGACCTCCAAACTTGTTGACAGGTATGTTGGTTCGCTGTTCATGAGTAAGGTACTTTGTCTGTAATTTGTCTGGCAGGTTTTTTTTTTTTCTTAACTTTCTTTTGAACAAAAATTCAAATTCAGTATATTTAATATTTTATTTAACTAAATTAACATCTAGTATTCTTTTACATTTATTATTACTTTTCTCAGGTTTGTGTTATTTGAATTTTTTACACTAGTGTGAATTCATAATTTTCTTAAATGGGAGGGTATGTAAACTTTTAAGCACAAATGTATTCCTCATTATCTGGCCATTGAGCTAAGAGACTTGGGCCTGGGCAGTGCAGAGTATCCTCTAAAGTTAAACAGATCATAGGCAACTGTCTGAATGTTTAAGCCCAATCATTCAACCCTTACCCCAAACACTCTGACATCCCAGGGCTGTTTCCTCAGCCCTATTCTCTATACAGTATTTACTAACGACTTAAAACACTACTGTTAAGCATTTTATTTCTTATTTCTTTCAATATTTTTTTGCCCAAAAGAAGAGGTCTAGGTCTTGACATTGTGATGTCTGTAAAACAACCATGAACTTCAGATAATCTGATAAGACTAAGAGACTGCATGTGTGTTCACTTCTCTGCTGACTTTACCTGGAACAGCTTTGAAAAGACTATCCTACTTTCAGAAAGTTAAAGTGCATCAACCATCCCTACCTTCTTACAAACTTCTACAGGGCAGTGATAGAGAGGCCTAACCCTAACCTGGTGCATTGCTACTCTGTGTGGTTCTCAAGCTGCTTTCAGCAGAACAGGACGAACCTACAGTGGTTAGTGAGGGCAACAGAATGTGTTATCTGATCACAGCTATCCTCACTGACAGACATTCAAACCTGACTCCAAAAGAAAACTGGGACCAGTGGAGCAGACTCCAGTCATCCCAGAACCATTTTTCTTCTATTTTTTGCACATATATCCATAAAAAAAACAATTTTCAGAAAAAAGAAAGAAATCCAGCAGACATAGTGTGTGATTGACAGCTGATATGCTAGAACTCTTTGTTCAGGTTATGGTCAGGGTGACTGTACATATAATCACTGAACAGGAACAATAATAAGATGATGTATTTTTTAGTTAAATTAAAGGTAAATGTGATATTTAGTTCCCCAAACGGTCTGTTGACAAAATGATAATTGACAATGAGCTCCATCTAGTGGAAAACAAAAGTATTTTTATCTTCTATTATTTTTTTTAGGTTTTTAAGATATTTAAATTGGGAGATCTGATCAGGAATAGACATGTCTTTATTTTATATTGTTTCTATTTTCTATTATCTCATTTTAATTTCCTTTATTTATGGACAGACAGGTAACAGCCTGGCTTCTTTCTGCATAAAGAATGTTCTCCCTCTGTATGATCGTTGTGTATGGCTGTTTGTTCTGCATTTCTACAGTGTGATAGACAGGAGGCCTGTCCAGGATATAGCCAGCCTCTCATCCTGGACAAGATTCATTGATCAAAATGGTCAACATAAATATGAAGGTAATATTGAATCAAAACCATTTCTGCACTGTAAGTGTGAATTTGAAGCTGCAGGGACAGTTACATTATAAGTGTGGTAATTGTAGAATTTATGACATCAGGCTGCGCATTCTGCTGTACGACCAAGGGTACTACCAACAAGTCACGCATCAATTATACCAGTGTGATATTTGGGTCAAAAGTGAAAATGTAGGTGTAATTTGTAAAGTTTAATTTGTCACTTACAGTCACAAATTCATTCAATTGTATTTATTGTATTGTATTTGTGTTAAAGAAAAATATATGTAACAAATTTCTGAAGAGTTAAATACATGTGTTTGAATTTGTTTTGTACCATATGGTTTAGATCAACGGAAGAAATTTTGTTGTAATTGAGACAGATAAAAAATATATATCTACAATTACAAAACTCCAAAGTTACAAAACACAAATACAATAGTTCTGGACCATTTGGAGCAACTGAATATGTACTGTAAGAGGTTTTTAATGTGCAACTTGTAGAACACAATTTGTGTACTTGTATTTAATCATGAAAAGGTCTAAAAAAAAATTTTTACTTGTGAATTTAAAAAAAAAATGCAACTTCATATTCACACTTAAAATGCACACATAGTTTTGACTAAATATCACCTTCATACAGGAACGCCAAACACTGAATGGGTCTTTGACATCTAGTCACCTTAAAATACAACACCAACATGTTAGTTCCCTTAGTTTTGACCCCAGCACTGAAAGGGATCAAACTATCATATTATCATGTTTATGTGATTTCTGAACAGAGATATATGGTCTGAGAGCAACATTGTAACTAATTTATTTCATTTTGATTTTGAACTGATAATGTTTTTACAATATATTTCTAGGGAGATTTAGACAGAAATCAGGAGTGATTGCAAACGTAAATCATGTTAAAGGATGAGCTATAACATAATTTATATGTAATAACTGACACTGTAATCTACAGACACTAACATCCTGATATATTTGTTAAAAATCAAATGAGAAAAAAACATTCATGATAGTTCGGTCAAAGCAGCTTTGTCAAAACTCCTCCCAGGCAGAATGAGACAGTAGTTGGTGGTGAATTAGGTTTGCCGGCCAGACTCCATTTAGGGTTCCAGTGATACTGAGGCTTTGAGAATGACGTGAAGCTGAGTAAGTCCCATCTGCTACCTGCTGCTCTTTAGCCACTGTTAAATGGATTAAACCTGCCACACAAACTGCTGCAGTGCAACATGGAGTGTTATATGGTCCAGACTGTGTCTTGTCCATATGTAGGTGGTCACAAAGCAGTCTGTTAAGTTTCCGCTCAGCCAGCTGTTACAGTCTGTGGTCCAACCTTTGCTCTCAATCTCATCTTAGTTACTTGGAGAACAACTTATAAAATAACAAATTTACTGTCTCAGCATAATTTAGAAAGTTTGGTGACTGGCTTAGGAAAAAAGAAAAGTGGTGCATACTGTATATAGCCTCACTGCTTGTAGAAAAATAATCAATACAGTTATAAATAAATCTGGGGGAAAAAAAATTTAATCTCTTAAAATGTTGGACTCACAAGGGTCACAATAACTTTGCCTCCTGTTCAAGTGTTGGATATTTATTTATTTTTATATTTTGCATTTGAAAAACATTATCTGATTCTTCCTCTCAATCTATGATATGTTTGGGTCTCAGGCCAAAAAGTGCATTTTAATGCTGTCTAAGCTAAAAGGTAAGTCAGTCTGCTGGAGGATAGCAAATTCAACATTTTTTTGTCTATTCATGATGATTGGTTACCTTAATAAATTACTGGAAACTAATACATTTTCATCAAATTGGTGAGTCATCACTTTCCTCTTTATTTATAAGCTGCCATGAAACATAATTTAAAAAAATCTAAAGCTTTGGTTTTGCTGTTGAGGCAAATGACTGTTTGGTTAACATGTCTATGATGTAAATTTGTTGAAGGACAGCTCTCAGATGTTTTATGCAAAACTAACAGCAATAAAGTGTGTTTAGAGAATAAAAGTTTGCAAATGTACCTAAAGTGTCTGCTGCTAAAATGCATCTAAAGATAAAACTGCAGTTCTAAATAATAAAGAGAGAATGTAAAAGAAAATGCCAAAAAAAATGGAATATAGAGAGAAAGTCAAATCTTTATAACTGTGCTCAAGAAGTCAAGATTTAAAACTAGAACACAGAAATAGAGACAAAAGGCAGATGTTAAAAAAGTGTGTTTATGAATTTAATTCAAGGTACCGTAATTGAATTTTAATAAAAAAGCAGACTACAATTATTGGAAGTTTTCCTTACCGTGTAGTTAGTGACTATTAACAGTTAAATGTACATTGAAATTAACTTAAAAATGGAGAAAGGCTCACACTAGTCTAACTATATCATTAACAGTCTGCTATACTATAAATCACAGAGAGATTAATCAGCTCACCTGCTCATGTTCCATCTAAAGATGTAGTTCAGTTTAATCCTTATTACAAATTAATGCTTATCAAGCTTTACCTGGGAATTTGACCCAGATTTTCTTTTGTTTTTAGCATCAGCTGTATGTATCAAAGGTAAAAAATTCTAACATGTTGGAATCTTTGAAGGAAATAAATAACAAAAATGTATTATTATTTATATATATGTATTCAGTAAGTTAGTATTGTTTAATTAGTTATCTATATATTAGCTAACACTTAATTTTTTTAGATAAAACATTTTAGATAAATTATTTTTCTGGTTAACTAACTATTTATAAAATACACACATGCACAACCAAAGGTCAGTGCTTTTGTGGAAACACGGCAGCTTGAGGTCAGAATAACAAAGATGAGGGCCAGTTGGCCCAGCCTGAGCCAGGTTGGTGTTAAGACGGAAAAGTAGATCAGTGTCTGAGGATATAAAAACCAGTTCAAACATTGAGTCTGTCAGAGACATACTGAACGGCACATCACAACAGGTATCTAGATCAAGAGAATTGCACATTCAAAGGATTTATAACACATCAACCTGCTGTAAAACTGCCACCATGGTCCTGGAGGAGAACGAAGACTCCGTCTTTGAGCCCCAAATCACAGTGAGTATGTGAAAAAAAGGCTGAAGTGACAAGAGCTGCTTAGGCCCAAAGATATTGTATTTTATTTCATTTCAGTTGTTTTTAGGAAACTGTAACCTTCAACTCACTGTAGGTGTTATGTACATATTGATATTGACACTTAAGACAGAATACCTAAAAAATAAAAAATAAGTAAATAAAATCAACTATATATATTTACATATTGGCCATGCATGAGGGGGTACACCCTGAAGAAATGTGATCTGAATGATTGAATACAATTTTTTTTTTAGGAGGAGTATGTGGAGACTCAGTATGGGGACATCCACTGCATCATGACAGGAACTCGAAAAGCAAACCGGCCTGTCATCCTGACCTTTCATGATGTTGGACTCAACCGTAAGTCCCCGCCCTCCCAAAGAGCAACTCAGTGTGATGTTTTGTTTTTAAAGAAATCCTTTTCTGTCTAATATCATTTTATGGATTCACTCTGAAAGGGACTTTTCTTAAAGTCTATTTATTGGATTTTACATTTTAATTGGACCCTAATAAGATCATTTTATCCATATTTTAATGTTTTCAAAAATCAAATATTTCTAATTTGTTATTTGAATTATGTGAAAATCTTAGTAAAAGCAGAATATAAAAATCAAATTATAATATTTTTCCGTGTGCTTGTTTTTCCATACAGACAAATCCTGTTTCGAAACTCTGTTCAGCCATGAAGACATGCAGGAAATTGTTCGCCATTTACCTGTTTGTCATGTTGAAGCTCCTGGACAACAGGAAGAAGCCAAAACGCTGCCCGCCGTGTGAGTAAATTACTTTGGTATTCATTTCCCTTCAAGTCTTAAAAGAATTTTAATAGGACTGATGTGAATGCATCCCATTAACCAGTATTGATTTCCATAAATTACCCCCCTTTACCCAGAGATAGTACAGGCTAAATGACATAAAATTAATAAAGTAAAAGAAAAAAGAAAAATTTTAGGCTAGTTTTTAAATTACATTTACAAACCTTGTTAAACACATCACACGTATTGTAAAAAATACTATAACATTTAATAACACATTTCCACAGGGGTGTATCCCTGCTCATGCCGAATTTACATAACACTTGTGCATTCACAGACACATAGAAATTATCTTTCTGCATTTTCTGACAACCTGTATCTGGTACCCCTAATATTTTGAAAGTTAAATTTACTTTCATCAGACACTTTGTTTTTAATTGACCTCTAAAAATAAGGTTTGAGTAAAGATATCGATTTCATCATCTTTTAGACTCAGATTGCAATTTGTGATTGAGCTACTATTTAACGAAAGCTTAATAACTGCTAATAAACCTGACATTTGACCCCTCAGGTACACCTTCCCTACCATGGACCAGCTCTCAGAGGTCATTCCTGCTGTCCTCAATCACTTTGAGTAAGACAAGACTGTCCAAATGACAAACATTTTACCTCATGTTCTTCTCCATCTTGAGTAATGCAGCTCTTCTCCATATGCTTTGCAGTCTAAACAGTGTCATTGGTGTGGGAGTTGGAGCAGGAGCTTACATTTTGGCCAGATTTGCAGTAAGTCTGATATATTTTTGGCTTCGTTGAAATCTCAAGATGGTCCTCCTTCCCATAGAACTTTGAAATTAATAATCCCTGCTTTTGTTATTGTATATTGCTCTATAATTGTAAATGGACAAACAGCTAGAGGTGTCAACAGTTACAAACCAGGTCAAATCAAAGGTGGTAATTGTCATGGGTGACATGGCTGTTCACCCAGGGCCACATCTGTTGGACCCATATCAATGAATCTGTTTTCATTTTTATTTTAGGTCAACCTTAGAACATAACCAGAATATTTAATTGTGTTATCTGGACAAACTTTATTTTATTTATTTATTTTGTTCTCACAGCTACGAGTAAAAAAATTTTTTCTCGCACACTATTTCAACTGAACTTTTTTTTCTCACAGTGGGTTAATTGTGTAATTAGTCAGAATTTGGACGACTAATCCTTTGTAGTTTTATGGCTAATGCTTTTTTCCCAGTCAGGAGACTTTCACTCATTCAGCCATTCAAACACATCTGCCCTTATACAACCACATTAAAAGCCGGAGCTTAAACCAATAGGGGGAAATTCTGCATTTTACACAACTGTTGCCCCATAGGATTGGTGTGTTATTTAGGAAAAGCAGAGATGATTTCCCCCATTTTGTTTATGGGTCATAAATTAGAAATCTGCAAAGTACCAGTATAGTTATGGATAGTTTTGAGGATCTGCAAGTGATCGATCGAGCTGGCCAATGTAGTGGGAAATTATTGACATTTGTATGATACATCTTCATAGTTATATAAAACTTTATTACTTTGCTCCTCCTTGTCCTTCATCAGCCTGAAATTGTACCCTCTGCTGTTGTGTTGACGTGTTTTGTTTCCTGATAGTGACATAAGCTATAGAGGCTTTCTATAAGTTTGGCAGCTTAGCGTCTTATGAAGTGTGAATACTCAGAGGCAAAACTAAAACTTTTCTTTTAATTGCCAACTCAAGAATAAATAAAAGATTCTCAGTTTTTGTGGAGTACTCAAGCAGTTACCGTTGATTAGACTTGTATGTGAGGGACCATGTGGGCAGGGCAAAAGAGACAGGGGCTCGCTCAGAGCAGCTTTTATACTTTAATGCATAAACACATACAGAGATGCCATACCAGTGAGTTTCCTGACAGTGGAAATGAACAGCTGACAAATTCCTTCTGCTTTCTTCTGTGTTTAGCTGAATTACCCCGACTTGGTGGATGGATTGGTTCTGATCAACATCAACCCCAATGCTGAGAGCCTAATGGATACTGTTGCAAACAAGGTATATACAAATGCTTGGTTGGCCCTTCCGCCTTTAAACATCCACATCCTATAAGCTTAAGAATCTGAGTTAGTCTTAAAGGGTCAAATATGTAATAGTTTGACGTAAAATCCATTCCTTGTATAAGAAGCATAAAGTTCTGGTCACCTATGAACCTATAAAAGTACAGACTCAGTGCTTCATGCATCTCAGGAGAAATAACATCAGCTGGACAGTATCAATCAGCTGCATTTGATTGATACTGTGATACTTTGCAAATCATTAACAAGCATATAAAATAAAAATCAGAAACTAAAAGAAAAATAGTCCATGAGATATTTTCAGCATGAAGTCTTTCATAAATACGGTTTCAGTCGACCTTTACTTAAGTTTGACTTCTTCATAATTAGCATGATAAAAATCTATAATAAATTAACATGGATGGTTGATAAACTGTAAAGTCTGTGTAATTTTTATTGCCTGACCAGCATCATGCATAAAATGTATTCAATGGTTCGTTTTTAGGGGAACAGAGTAGAGCACAGAAGTTTTCCGTTATTTATTTCTTATTTAGGCAATATGTTTTTTAAGTACTCTTTGGACAAAATTCGTTAGGAGGCTCTAAAAACAAATATGTAAATTGATTTTGTATTTTTAAAAACTGCATTGATTTCCATTCCAATTTATCTAACTAAATTAAAGTTAACTGTCATTAGTTATCTGTCATAGAATTACTAGAAAAATCAAACTGATAAATATGCAAATAAGTCAACACTTAAAATGCTCACTGTATCAAAAGGGCTGTTTAATTAATAGACAATGTATAGTTATAGGTGTAGTTGTCTTGCAAAACATATTCTTTCAGAATGTCAATTTACTTCATAGTTGCCTAATTTTTGCAGATTGCAGAAAAATTGCATGATATTAAAGCAAGGTCAACCATACTGTGGTGTTTGATGGGCCCCAAATTGAGTCCCTCTTAGGAGCTTTTTAATATGAATATGTAAAAATGACAGATTGTGTTTGTGTTATGCTGTAGATTACCGACTGGACCCTCACTCTCCCAGACAAAGTTATCACACACCTTTTTGGAACGGTAAGGTATCTTGATAGCCGTTTATATGTTCACAATAGAAATTAAAGCAAACGTGTGACATACATACTTCCTTACTGCTAGGATGAGATCCAGGCCAATCAAGACCATTTGACTACATATCGTCACTATATCACAACAACGATGAATCAGTCCAACGTGAGTCAGTTCCTACGTTCCTACAACAACCGCAATACCCTGGAGGTAGAAAGGCCTGTTGCTGGAGGGAATGTTAATGTCAGGACCCTCATGTGAGTAAAATAAGAGATTTAAAACCAGGGTTGAACTTTGGCAGTACCTAATAACTAATCCTCTCGGTTCTGTTGGATCATGCTACAGGTGCTCCTCCCTGTTGGTTGTTGGGGATAATTCTCCAGCCGTGGAAGCTGTGGTCGACTGCAACTCTAAACTGAACCCTACGAAAACCACACTACTTAAGGTAAACATACGAATGCTAATGAGAACAGTATTGAGCTAATTCAGCTCCACAGAACAGCAGAATACAGCACAGATGGATGTATTATTACTGCATTACAGCAAACAAAACATTTGAAACACTGTCATGCAGTGGTTACGCCCCTCTATCAGCTTTCCCTTTCTCTACCGCAACACAGACAACAGAAAGTGAAAACAGTCCCCTCAAGAAGCCCTTTCTACAATTTTTCTGTACCTTTTAAGTAAAAGTATATTATAGAAAAGAGATGTTATATTGAAAGCTTCATGTTGTGAGCGGCAATTGTGCCACCCCAAAGGCTGTGCCGCCCTGGACAATGAGCCACATTTATAACACATCAAAATCCTGTTCTGCTGAGATTTCACTTTATACTTGAGCATTCATTTTTAACCATGTCTTGCAGAAAAAATACAATTTTCTGATAAAACAGTTAGGAAAAAACTGATAAAACAGTGAAGCAGTGGGGAGCAAAGCTGCCTTGTAGCAAGAAGGTTCCGGGTTCGTTTCCCAGGCTGGGAACTTTCTGCATGGAGTTTGCATGTTCTCCCTGTGCATGCATGGGTTCTCTCCAGGTACCCCGGATTCCTCCCTGAGTCCAAAAATATGACTGTTAGGTTAATTGGCTTCTCTAAATTCTCCTAGGTGTGAGTGTGTGCATGAATGTTGTTTTTCCTGTTTGCCCCTGTGTTGCCCATAGATAAAATGGTGACCTGTGCAGGGTGTACCCTGCCTCTCACCCATAGACAGCTGTAGAGAGGCTCCAACACCCCTTGGGACCCCAACAGGGATAAGCTTGACGGAAAATGGATGGATAAAACAGTTTGTGCAATTAAGCTTTAATTGTGACTTTATTACTTTCTTCCAGATGGCAGATTGTGGAGGACTTCCTCAAGTCGACCAGGTATGAGAGTAAGCTAAAAGAAAAGTAGTCTACGCTTCCCTATTGGTGACCTAATGGGTTAATGTTTTATGTTTCTTTTTTGTTTGTTTTGTGTTTCTCCTCATAGCCCGCCAAAGTGATTGAAGCTTTGAAATATTTTATCCAAGGAATGGGATACTGTGAGTAAAAAATATAACACTATGTGTGTGCTTTATTCAGTGAGCCCTTGCACTCCAAAAAACTCTTCTAAATACTTAGGTACAGCTGAGCCGGCATATCTAATGAAGTCGCTTTATTTTTTTAATTTAATTTTCACGCCGTTGTTGTTTTTTCAATCCAGTTTAATCTTGTCTTCTATAATCTTAATAGCAGTACAATGCAATAACAAGGTGTTAATCATTTTTCTTTCAGTGTCCAGCGCCAGCATGACCAGACTTCGCTCACGGACAACCTCCAGTTGCAGCAGCATCTCGCTTGATGGCTCACGAGGCCGTGCACAGACCAATGAGCGTGGACGAACACAATCAGAAGGCATTGAGGAGAAGCGTGGGCGTGCGCACACTGATGTCTCCATGGAGAGTATTCCTACTATAAGCCATAACATCTCAAACACCACTGAAGTGGCATGCTAGAATAACAATGCTACTTAGACAAAACTCTTTATACCTGCACTTATACCTTTATTATTTCCTTTGCTTTCAGAAATTATGTTATTATATTTAATTTAAATTGAAGATCACATATCATATTTTAAGTTATTTCATTCTTTTATGTTACCCGTCTAATGTTGTCCTCTATTATCTGAACCAGTGGCTTGTATCAGCTGTAGACTTCATTGTTTTTTTTATTTTGTCAATAAATAAAGTAGAGGAGTAAAAAAAGGTTGCCATGTAATTCTTCTGAAAACCAAAATGTGTTTGTTAGTCCTGCTTGGATTTTGAGTTCAAAGTTGTATTTATTGAAAAACAAACCTTTTTTTACATCTATAAAAGGGTATAAAAAGGTTATAATTGTGAAACTGAACTGTGCTGTGTAATCATAAATCTCCAGTAATTAACTTCCTGAGCATGAATACCAAAGTGTTAGAAAAGGACAGTTCTAAAACACAAATGTGACTGCCTTTTGCAATGTGATAAATATTCTGTGAACATCTTCTCAAGACATTGTTCACCTAATTGTTCCTTCACAATGTGAAGGAAGGCCATCTACTCTCTCTAATCTGGCTAATAAAGTAACAATGCACATGATGTATAAAGCATAAACCTAACAAAATGGAAGAGAAATCCATTGTGATTTCAGGTATGGTCATTTAAAAAATATATATTTATTGAAAAAATATGGCTTTCAACTGTGCTTTGAGTTTCTTTTCAACCCTAGAAATATGGAGTTCAGAAATATTATGGACTGAAATATAGCCAATCTTTTTGACAGACAAGATTTAGACTATGTGGCTATTTGTGTTTGCCAAAACATAAAAGACAATTTCAAAAGAATTATGTCATTTTATATAGGGTTTAAAGAGAACACTTTGGGCAAGGCATTAGGATAAGTTCAATAAAGATGTTCAGTTTGTGTGATCAAAAATAGCTAGGAAGGATGAAGTTTGATTCGATGTGATATGAAGGAAGGAAGGAAGTATACAAGAGGATGAATGCAAGAGTAATAAGTGGGAATGCATAAGCACTTGAGGAAGGAAGGAAGGACGGACGGATGGACGGATGGATGGATAGATAGGCCACTAGATGGAGCAATATACCAAACCTCAATAAAAAGGTTAAGTTGTTTCAGTCAAGACTTTTTTTCTTCCTGCTTCTAAACTCTAATCCCTTTAACATTACACTGTCCATTTATTTTGTCATTTGATTTATGCAAGATAGTCCTTAAAACTCTCCACTTAATCTATTATCAATGACACCAATATGCGAATGTTGTTTACAATTATGGCTTACGATGGCATAATCATTGCATCTATATTTCTTAGTCCATCACAAAGTTCTCAGTGCCCTATTATCATAGTTTGTATCTCTGTACAAAGACAAGCTGCGGCTTTGCTTTGTGTCTGCATGAACTTGTGTTAGTATGGAGATCAGCTGCATGCATGTGTAGGTGGTGCTGTTAGTGTAGGCCCATGAGAAGATGAATTGTTCTGAGCTTTGAGAGGGAGATGGCTGTGATACAGATCCAAAGCATTATAAAGACAGCTAGCATCAAAGTCACAATTATTTGGTTTATGCTTGCACTTATGTATGCGAGTAGGTCTCGGGGGCTTATTAATTTCAAAGCTTCTTTTTTCTGGCTTTCATTAGAATGCTGTGATGAATTATTCATGGGAAAAATCTCCAAAGACTTCAGATAAACATAAGACTTCAGTTCTCACTCAGTTAGTCTCCTATAAACATTTGAAGTGTTGTTTCATTTTGATGCATGTGCAATCTGTGTGTAGTTCCTTTTGCTATAATAGAACATATCAATAGCCACACTGAACTTTATGAAAATAATAATGCTGCAACAATTATTCCACATTAATTCACAAAAGGATTAGTAAGAAAGCAGCAAAACAAAAGACAAGGCAAGGCATTGCCCCAGGCCTCAATCAAGGCCTGCACATCATCCAGTGTCATCTATGGCCTGGGCCTTGCCCCACAGCTACATAAATGTACATAAATGCCTCGAACACAGGGGCTACATTCTTCGTTGTGTGTTTGCTGTTGATCTCAACTACGCTGGTGATATAGCTTATTGTCATACATTCTAAAGGATTCGGTGTAGAATGGTGATTGTACAATCTGGACACATCAAGTTTGATGTCTTATTAGATCGCAAAATTCACACAGTTTAGGAAAGTTAGTTTGTTGGTCCTATTTTTTTCTTTCTTACTTTATAGCGTTAGTGCCAGTATGCCCCAGCCCCATCCCTCAACACCAAATTGATTTATTGATTGATTGACTGTCAGCAGTACCAGCAGCAGTACTCACATAAGGTGCTACTCACCATTGAAGGAATAACGAACTCCCCTTTGCTTCTCAACCCCAACTTAGCTGGGAACACCTTTAAAACCAAGCCCAGCCTTCTAAGACCCCTTGTGCACTGCATGCAAAAACTTCTATGTTGGATTTAAAAAGAATGTTCACTCTATCATCCCCTCATGTTCTTACTTCGGCCTCATGCTGTACATCTCCGATTGTATCTTGGACTGTTTATAAAAAACTCATCATCCTCCTGCTTTCTTGCCCCATCTTTATATAATCATTATGTTACCTTTTTCATCCTTATCACTGTCTGCCTATTCTGTGCTCTCCTTTGTCTTCGTCATAATTGTCCTCTCCTGCACCTATACTTCAACTTCCACATTGTCTCTATTAATCACCTCTCTTACACTGACAATAGAGAAGATTCCTGTTTTTCAAGGACTCCTCTTAAGTCTCTCTCTCTTAAGTTAAATTATTATTCAATGAAGGGGCCCCAGGGGGTCCACCAGTTTCAAATCCAATACGCCCAAACTCTCCAATGAGGAGACACAGGTGACTTCACTTCTGCCTCAAGTACCAGCTGCGTAGTTGTCCGATAAGGGGACCCATTGGGTTGCTTCCTCAAAAAGTGTGTGTTTCTGAATGGAAGTCCACGGAGGTCCAGGGCTAAGTCTGAAGAGCTCCCTTCATCAACCATCAGGGGCTCCTCAGTCATAGTAAAAACCTCCAAATCTTCTTCCTAGGTCCAGTGGCCTCTCACTTGTTCTGTAGTCATTTTCCTGAGCTCCTCTATATATCTGGATTCTTTCTAACAACCTGAGATCCATAGTGTATTCCTGAGGCTAACCTGCTTTTCTCCAGAGTACATCCAATATTCAGTCCATCTTGAATAAGTAGCTCATTTATGGATCTGTGTTACCTCAACAAATAACTATCTCCTCTTGTTGTGTCTCAGCATCCCAACTGGCCACCAGGACAGGCGTCTGTGGCTAAGACGTAGACCTCTAAAGCTCGCTTTGTGGATCAAGGGACTTATGTGGCTTTGTGTTTATTTTTTATTTTTTGGTTCTATTAAAATCTTTTTGATTGTTGTTTATATATTTTTTCTGATTTGTTTCTTGGTTTATTAATCATATTTTGTCAATTTTCTGCTTTGGATCTTCTAAAGCTGCTCTAAATTCTCCTGATTATTCACAGCTGGTTCTCATTTCACTCATTAAAGCTCCTATTGATTAAAACCCTCATTCATTTCCTCACTTCCTTGGCAGATTTTTCTGGCCTCAATTGTGTTACCTTTATTCCTCTTTTCCTGTGTTCCAGTTGGTTTATTTTTTCCAGTCTGAGTCCTCTTTTCTTTTTTTTTCCTTTTTTTAGCAAATACAGATCCTAGTAATTTATTTTCAGTTATAAATAAAAATAAATAAGCAAACATTATACCTAGGCTTTATTTCTTTTTAATATCTAAAACTATAGAAATATGCCATCACTCTAAGTTTGCCCTTTTTCTTGTATTATTGACACTGGATGTGCCATAGGAGAGAGAAATATCAACATCCGATCAAAAACACTCTAAAGACCTTTAAAACTAAAGATGAACTCTTTAAAATGATTCCATGTGTTTAATAATATTCTATCTGAACCAAAGCTAAATTATAAATACATTTTTTTTATGTTATTAGAATTAACGTAAATTCAGCCATGGCCTGCTGCTGCTGCATCTGACAACCTGTCAGGGTTTTAAAGGAGGAGTGGGGAGAAACACAGAGTGATTAATGCTTTAATGTATAGCCATCAAAATCTCCAACAACACGGAGACAAAAAAAAATCTGGTACGTTTATCACAAGTCTTTTTTTTTTAAACAAATAGTCATTAGAGTTGCTGAATATAGCAGCAAAGTTACTAAGTTGGCAACAACGGGTGAGCATCTCCTCCTTATGGTCTGGAGCCTCTCTGTAATAATAATAATTATTATTATTTAACTTTATTGATCTCACAATTATGAAATTCCCTTCTGCATATTAACCCATTCACTTGGGGAGCAGTGGGCTGCCACTGAGCAGCACAATCAGGGGTTAAGGGTCTTGCTCAGGGACCAACAGTGCATGCTGTGGGGATCGAACTGAGTACTTGCAACCTTCTCAGAGCACAAGCGCACTGCTCTAACCACTGGTTTTTGTGCACCCTATACATTTTTTGTGTTTTCTAGTATAATCTTTATTAATGCAAGTCTCATTTTTTCATTTGCACTACTTTCCTGATTCCTTCCAGTTTCTTATGCTTGCAGGGCATTTGCAGCCCTCACCCACATATAGATCAAACAAACGCTCTCAATAATTTAGATGTTTAAAAAAATGTGCATCATAAATAACATTATGAATACCTCGAAGCACACGCATCAATCCTATTAGAATTTCAGATTGGGGGTAATGAGAAGAGGACTGTACGTTGGAGTGCTGTTGTGGCACGGTTTTCTTGGAGCAAGATCACCCTGGGTTCAATTTCTGGCCAAGGATCTTTCTGCATGGAGTTTGTGTGTTCTGCCTGTGGAGGTATGGGCTCTCTCTGGGTACTCCAGCTTCCAAACATAGTCCGAAACATGACTTTTATGTCAGTTGGTGACTCTGAGTTACCCTTGCATGGTTGACTAACTCATAGAGCTTCGGGTTATCGTTACAAATTGGAATATTGATGTTTTAATTTATAAGTAGCCACATCTGTTTAGGTCTAACTCCTGTTTTAGCAATGATTAGAAATTATTTCATAATTGTTAAACTTCATTTATTTATTTTTTTAACAGAGGGGCTTGTTGTTAGAAAAAAAAAATCCAGAGCAGCATTTCCTCAGATAAAACAATTATATGTATGAGTGAGTGGACAGTGGGCCCCTGTCATGCAGCCAGCTGCAGCCATGTTGTTGAAAG